TCTGTAAGTATTTGTTTCTTAGAGATCTTAGCCTACTTTTGATATCCTATTTAGTCATTTTAGCATTTTTCTGTTTGTAATTTGCAAGGAAATATGTGACGCTAATTGCGTTAGCTTCTCTATGGCGTTTTCTATGTAAATTAGCATTGTGCTATTTGTTTGCCATACAATCGTGATTTGAAAGTTTAGTTATTTCTAGACTACATATTTATTTTTGTATTGTATATTCTTCATATTGAGATTGTAATATGCTTTTCTTTGTTTTTGTATGTTACAGTTTTACAGTCCTTTCAGTAAAACACCACAATACAGCAAGAAGCTTCTGGTACTTTATTGGAAACTGTTAGCTATCTGTAAAACTAGTTTATGCACACTAGTGAAGGCAGAATAGTAAAAAGACACATGGAAAGTCAGCCAAAAGTCGACACGGAAGACAACACTGCTGTCTCTGATCGCCAAAGTTCAGCCAGCAACGTTGGTGACCTGTGGGAAACGAGCTCGAACTGTTCCAACAACTCACGCGCTAGTAAGCGGTCACACGCCAGTCAGCGGTCACACACCAGTCAGTGGTCTAATGCAAGTGTTTTGGCTGCTAGAGCACGCGCTAAAGCAGCAGCCGCTCAAGCAAAGGCATCATACGCTGAACGAGAAGCAGAGGTGTTAAAAGAAAAGGCCCACATCAAGGCTGAGGCTACAAAAAAGAAAGCAGAGCTCAGCGCTGACCTCCTCAAATTGCGTCTACAGAGTGCAGCTGCTGCTGCCAACGCCGAAGCAGAGGTCCTGGAAGCAGCCGCTGGGGAAGAAGGTGGAGAACCCTGGTTTCTAGAAAGCAGCGACAAAGTAGTTGACTCCATACCAGCTCCACCTCCGCAGACTATTAATCGCTCTAATTACCCTCAAGCTAGCACAGTGACACTTCCAGCAGCTCAGCGAGTGAAATACAGTGGCGATATTGAGCAACATAAAGATAAAGAGCATAACATATCAAACAGCGAGATTAGTGAATATGGGTTTCAAGAGCTACCAGTGACGCATTCTCCACAGTATGACATCAGCAGTGGAGCAACTCATCCTTATGCCCAAAGCTCGTTCAAAAATGCCCTTTTCACGTCCCACTCACAGTATCCTACCCCAGCTACTACAGACCACAGATTTCAGCAACATCTAATGAACCAGTCAGTTCCTTTGCAGCCTAGGCTGACGTCACCACGCCCTGTACCCAGTGCAAACGAGTCCAATTCCCCAGCCACATCGGACTTAGCCAAATATTTGGTACGCAGAGAGTTGGTCAGCTCAGGGCTCCTGACGTTTGATGATAAGCCTGAAAATTATTGGGCTTGGAAGGCATCCTTTTTGAACGCTACAGCAGGTCTCTATTTATCCCCAAAAGAAGAGTTAGATCTCCTCTGCAAGTGGTTAGGCCCCAAATCATCAGATCAAGCCAAACGATTAAGGGCTGTGCACACTTACGATGCCGCAGCTGGTGTAAAAATGGTATGGCAAAGACTGGAAGACATCTATGGGTCCCCTGAAGCGATCGAGAATGCTCTCCTGAAAAAGTTGGAAGATTTTCCCAAAATCGCAAACAGAGAAAACGGCAAGTTAAGGGAGTTAGGTGATCTCATCTCAGAGCTTGATGCTGCCCGGGTAGATGGATTCCTGCCTGGTCTGAGTTACCTAGACACGTCCCGGGGCATCACACCCATTGTTCAGAAACTCCCATTTCACCTTCAAGAAAAATGGATTACCACAGCATCTTACTATAAAGAGCAACACCATGCTTCATACCCGCCATTTCCCGTTTTCGTGAAGTTTGTGTGCGACAAAGCTAAAACTTTAAATGACCCAAGCTTTGCTCCCTTGCTTTCTACCAGTGGTCCAAGTGTTTGTAGGCCTGAAAGAATGATCAAGCCCAATTTCAAAACCGCAGTATCTGTTCGAAAAACTGAAATACTTGCTCCAAAAGGCAATCGTGAATCCTCTGACCAAAAGGTGGTTGACCCGGATAAACTGTGCCCGCTCCACAATAAACCACATTCCCTTCGCAAGTGTCGTGGTTTCAGAGCAAAGACTTTGGATCAGAGGAAAGTCATTCTGAAAGAATTGGCCATTTGTTACAAGTGCTGTTCCTCCGTCAACCACATGGCAAAAGATTGCGACGCAAGTGTACATTGCAATGAGTGCAAAAGTGACCAACACGTTACCGCACTGCACCCTGGACCACCAACCTGGAAAACGGAAACTCCAGGATCTGAATCTCCTAACGTGCATGGCGGGGAGCAAGCAGAAAGTCCTATACGCGCCATTGTCTCCAAATGTACTGAGGTATGTGGAAAGGGTAACAGCTCACGCTCATGCTCCAAAATCTGCTTAGTAAACATTTATCCTGTTGGGCACAAGGAAAAGGCAGTGAAAGCTTATGTTGTCTTAGACGAGCAAAGCAATAGGTCTTTAGCAAAAACAGAATTCTTTGAGATCTTTAACGTTAACACAGACACCAAAATTTACACTCTAAAGACTTGTTCAGGCGTAGGAGAGACAAAAGCACGCCAAGCTGACGGGTTCATTCTGGAGTCTCTTGATGGCAACACTAGCGTCCGGCTGCCCACATTAATCGAGTGCAACATGCTCCCAGATGATCGATCTGAGATCCCCACACCGGAGGCTGCAAGACAACACGCTCACCTCAAGCATTTGGCAGCCAAGATTCCTGATTTGGACCCTAATGCTTCAATACTGGTCCTCCTTGGTCGGGACATACCAAGACTGCACAAGGTCAGAGAACATTACAACGGCCCTCACGATGCTCCTTACGCCCAACGCCTCGACCTCGGCTGGGTGATAATAGGTGATGTTTGCCTTGGAGGTGCTCATGTGCCTAGCAATCTCAGTGTTTACCGCACATCAGTGTTGATCAATGGACGCACATCTCTGTTGGACTCTTGCACCAATTCATTCCATGTTAAAGAAAAGATTCTGAGCTCTGACGGCCTATTTAATTCTGGGAACATGTGCAGCTTGATGGACATAGATGAAAATGACTGTCTAACCAACAAATTGTTCAAGAGAACCCCACATGATGACAAACCTGCCATGTCAGTCGAGGATGAACTCTTCTTGGAGATCATGGATGAACAAATGTTCATGGACGAGTCTAACAGCTGGGTGGCACCACTGCCCTTCAAAACGAATAGACACAGATTACCCAACAATCGAGACCAAGCAGTCAAACGTCTCAACTCACTGCGTCGAGCGCTTGACAAAAAGCCCCAAATGAAAGAACATTTCTTGAACTTCATGGAAAAAATGTTTGAGTCAGGACATGCTGAACCCGTTCCGCCACCCACCAAAGATCAAGAGTGTTGGTACCTACCGTTTTTTGGTGTGTACCATCCACGCAAACCTGATCAGATACGGGTAGTGTTTGATTCTAGTGCAACTTACAAAGACACGTCTTTGAACGATGTTTTGTTGAGTGGTCCAGACATGAACAACACACTTATTGGGGTCCTTTTGCGCTTCCGAAAAGAACCTGTGGCAATAACTGCGGACATACAGCAAATGTTCTACTGTTTTGTCATTCGCGAGGACCACCGCGACTTTGTGCGTTTCCTGTGGTACGAAGGTAACGATCTCACAAGGGCAATCAGAGAGTACAGGATGACCGTACATGTGTTTGGAAATAGCCCGTCTCCTGCCATAGCTATATATGGTCTCCGGAGGGCGGCGCTGGCCACACAGGATGAGTACAGTGAAGAGGCCAAACAGTTTGTCCTTAAAAACTTTTACGTTGATGATGGACTGGCTTCTTTTTCTTCAGACGTTAGCGCCATTCAAACTCTGAAAAGTGCCAAAGAAATGCTGGCGGACTCTAACATTCGTTTGCACAAAATAGCCTCCAATAACCCAGACGTAATGGAAGCATTTCCATCTGAGGAACGTGCAAAAGAACTGAAAAGTCTTGACCTTGGTGCAGAGCCTCTGCCCTTACAGAGAAGTTTAGGGCTTAACTGGGACTTGCAACATGACTGTTTCACCTTTCTCGTATCAAGAGAAGACAAGCCGTTCACAAGAAGAGGCATCCTTTCTGCTGTTAACAGCTTGTACGATCCTCTTGGGTTTGCTGCCCCCATCATCATGCAAGGTAAAGCTCTCATTAGAGAATTGTGCTCAGAGAACTGTGAATGGGACACTCAATTGCCAGCAGAAAAAGAGGCACTATGGAAATCTTGGAAAGATTCGCTTGTAGACCTTGAGAAACTTCAAATTCCTAGACAGTATGTGCACACGTCACTGCAATCTACCTGTCAAAGAGAGTTGTGTGTCTTTGCAGATGCTTCTACATCAGCTATTTCAGCGGTTGCATACCTCCGAGCCATAGATTCTGAAGGTCAAGTCCACGTAGGCTTCTGCATGGGCAAGTCCAAATTAGCTCCTAGACAAGTCCACACAGTACCTCGCTTGGAGTTATGTGCTTCCGTTCTGGCGGTGGAGTTAGCAGGATGTTGCTGAATGAACTTGACATAGAAATTCACAATGTGAAGTACTACACTGACAGTCGAGTAGTCTTAGGCTATATCAATAACATCAGCCGAAGGTTCTATGTCTACGTAGCAAACCGTGTTGCTCGCATCAGGAAGTCATCCGATCCCAGTCAGTGGCACTTTGTGAGCACGGAAATTAATCCTGCCGATCATGGAACACGACATGTGCCAGCTTCCTTATTGAGTTCTACAAATTGGTTCACTGGTCCCAACTTCTTGAGGGAAAGAGATGGAGAGTGTCCTGTGCAGCAGAATGACTTTCAGCTTGTTGAACCCTCCACGGACATTGAAGTCCGCCCACAAGTCTCTACGTTTGCAACTACAATCGTGGCAAATTCACTCGGGTCACACAGGTTTGAGCGATTCTCCAGTTGGAAACGCCTCACTCAAGCTATAGCGAAGCTCATTGAAAAGGCCAGATCTATCTCAAAGGCTACTGATTCAGATGAAGCAAAGATGGACGCTTTAATTCAAGCAAAGTTAGTCATTGTCCGAACTGTTCAAGGTGAGTCCTTTGAAGAAGAATTGAGAACTTTGAACAAAGGCGAGGACATAATAAAACACAGCCCATTGAAGAATCTCAATGTGTTTTTGGACAAGGAAGGTCTGCTGCGAGTAGGAGGACGTGTGACTTCTGCTGAAATAACTCAAGAACAAAGTCAGCCTATTGTGATTCCGAAGAAGCATCACATTGCTGCCTTGCTGGTCCAGTTCTACCACGAACAGGTTGCGCATCAAGGCAGACATATCACTGAAGGAGCCGTCAGGTCTGCTGGACTGTGGATCCTTGGAGGAAAAAAGTTGGTTTCAAATCTACTCAACAAATGCACAACCTGCCGCAGGTTAAGAGGGAATGTTCAACAACAAAAAATGGCAGACCTTCCGGCTGATCGTCTTTTCCAATCTCCTCCTTTTACACATGTCGGAGTAGATGTGTTTGGACCGTGGAACATATGCATCCGTCGTACAAGAGGTGGAGTGGTAGAAAATAAACGATGGGCAGTAATGTTCACCTGTTTGGTCACACGAGGAGTTCACATCGAGGTTGTGGAGTCTCTCTCTACTTCAAGTTTCATAAACGCGCTCAGAAGGTTCCTGGCCATAAGAGGACCCACCAAACTTTTCCGTTCAGATTGTGGAACGAACTTTGTAGGAGCATGCAAGGAGCTTCAGATAAGTTCAGACCCAGAGCTTCAATCCTACCTCAAAAAGGAGGCATGCACTTGGAAGTTTAACCCACCTCACTCTTCTCACATGGGAGGGGTGTGGGAAAGAATGATTGGTGTGGCTCGACGTATCTTGGATGCTATGATGCTGAAGGTTCATTCTCCAAATCTGACTCATGAAGTACTTGTGACGCTCATGGCAGAGGTAACAGCCATAATGAATGGTCGTCCATTAGTACCTGTGTCATCGGATCCTCAACAACCTGATTTACTGACTCCGGGGGCTCTTCTCACTCAGAAAATCTGTCCCGCTTCTATTCCTCCTGGGGACTTCGATCCAAAAGACTTGTACCGGAAGCAATGGAAACAGGTGAAAAGTCTGGCTAACTCATTCTGGAAACGATGGCGAGAAGAGTATCTTGCTACCCTTCAACCAAGAAGAAAATGGCAAGCAGATCAACCAAACTTAGCCATTGGTGACGTTGTCCTCTTAAAGGACTCTCAGGTCAAAAGAAACGAATGGCCTACTGGACTTATTGTGAACACTTATCCTGGGAGAGATAAAAGAGTACGTAAAGTAGATGTCCGCATAGTTAAAGAAGGTACTCCTAAGGTGTACTCAAGACCTGTTTCGGAAATTGTGTTATTAGTAAAGGGTTAATAGTGTAATAGTAGTATTCCAGGCGGGGAGTGTACTGCCCATTGTGAGAAGAGGTATTTGGGTTTTGAGTTTCTTGTGTTTTGTCCACTCAGAGTTTCCGTAGCTCAGTTGTTCTCATAACATTCCCCCTGCAAGTCGATCTCCAGAGTGTTAAAGTTTCTGAACTGTCATTTCGGTCTCTGACGAATATCTGTCTGTAAGTATTTGTTTCTTAGAGATCTTAGCCTACTTTTGATATCCTATTTAGTCATTTTAGCATTTTTCTGTTTGTAATTTGCAAGGAAATATGTGACGCTAATTGCGTTAGCTTCTCTATGGCGTTTTCTATGTAAATTAGCATTGTGCTATTTGTTTGCCATACAATCGTGATTTGAAAGTTTAGTTATTTCTAGACTACATATTTATTTTTGTATTGTATATTCTTCATATTGAGATTGTAATATGCTTTTCTTTGTTTTTGTATGTTACAGTTTTACAGTCCTTTCAGTAAAACACCACAATACAGCAAGAAGCTTCTGGTACTTTATTGGAAACTGTTAGCTATCTGTAAAACTAGTTTATGCACACTAGTGAAGGCAGAATACAGGTCTATGTCTCATGGCCCTCTATCAGAATCCAGAGTTTTGAGAGGATTGGGGATACTACATTTTTCGCCCAAAAAAAAAAAACGTAAGGGGTAACACTGTCGTTTTTTTTTTTCTGGTCGAAATTTTGAATTTCGATATCTCAGCTCTGGAAGGGTCTAGAGCCTCCATTGTTGCACTCAGGTATAAGTCTCATGGCCCTCTATCAGAATCCAGAGTTTTGAGAAGATTGGGGATACTTAATTTTTCACCCAAAAAAAAAAAACGTAAGGGGTAACACTGTCGGTTTTTTTTCTGGTCGAAATTTTGATTTTCGATATCTCAGCTCTAGAAGGGTCTAGAGCCTCCATTTTTGCACTCAGGTTTAAGTCGCATGGACCTTTATCAGAATCCAGAGTTTTGAGAAGATTGGAGAAACTTCATTTTTCACCTGAAAAAAAAAAACAAAAGGGGTACCACTGTCATTTTTTTTTTCGGGTCGAAATTTTGAGTTTCGATATCTCAGCTCTGGAAGGGTCTAGAGCCTCCATTTTTGCACTCAAGTCTAAGTCTCATGGCCCTCTATCAGAATCCAGAGTTTTGAGAAGATTGGGAATACTAAATTTTTCGCCCAAAAAAAAAAAAGTAAGGGGTAACACTGTCGTTTTTTTTTCTGGTCGAAATTTTGAATTTCGATATCTCAGCTCTGGAATGGTTTAGAGCCTCCATTGTTGCACTCAGGTCTATGTCTCATGGCCCTCTATCAGAATCCAGAGTTTTGAGAAGATTGGGGATACTTAATTTTTCGCCTAAAAAAAAACGTAAGGGGTAACACTGTCGTTTTTTTTTCGGGTCGAAATTTTGAGTTTCGATATCTCAGCTCTGGAAGGGTCTAGAGCCTCCATTGTTGCACTCAGGTCTATGTCTCATGGCCCTCTATCAGAATCCAGAGTTTTGAGAAGATTGGGGATACTTCATTTTTCGCCCAAAAAAAAAAAAAACGTAAGGGGTAACACTGTCGGTTTTTTTTCTGGTCGAAATTTTGAATTTCGATATCTCAGCACTGGAAGGGTCTAGAGCCTCCATTGTTGCACTCAGGTCTAAGTCTCATGGCCCTCTATCAGAATCCAGAGTTTTGAGAAGATTGGGGATACTTCAATTTTCACCCAAAAAAAAAAAACGAAAGGCGTAACACTGTCGTTTTTTTTTTCGGGTCGAAATTTTGAGTTTCGATATCTCAGCTCTGGAAGGGTCTAGAGCCTCCATTGTTGCACTCAGGTCTATGTCTCATGGCCCTCTATCAGAATCCAGAGTTTTGAGAAGATTGGGGATACTTAATTTTTCGCCCCAAAAAAAAAAACGTAAGGGGTAACACTGTCGGTTTTTTTTTTCGGGTCGAAATTTAGAGTTTCGATATCTCAGCACTGGAAGGGTCTAGAGCCTCCATTTTTGCACTCAGGTTTAAGTCTCATGGCCCTCTATCAGAATCCAGAGTTTTGAGAAGATTGGAGAAACTTCATTTTTCGCCCGAAAAAAAAAAAAACGAAAGGGGTACCACTGTCGTTTTTTTTTTTTCGGGTCGAAATTTTGAGTTTCGACATCTCAGCCCTGGAAGGGTCTAGAGCCTCCATTGTTGCACTCAGGTCTATGTATCATGGCCCTCTATCAGAATCCAGGAGTTTTTAGAAGATTGGGGATACTTAATTTTTCGCCCCAAAAAAAACGTAAGGGGTAACACTGTCGTTTTTTTTTCTGGTCGAAATTTTGATTTTCGATATCTCAGCTCTGGAAGGGTCTAGAGCCTCCATTTTTGCACTCAGGTCTATGTCTCATGGCCCTCTATCAGAATCCAGAGTTTTGAGAAGATTGGGGATACTTAATTTTTCGCCCCCCAAAAAAAAAACGTAAGGGGTAACACTGTCGTTTTTTTTATGGGTCGAAATTTTGATTTTCGATATCTCAGCTCTGGAAAGGTCTAGAGCCTCCATTGTTGCACTCGGGTCTAAGTCTCATGGCCCTCTAACAGAATCCAGAGCTTTGAGAAGATTGGGGATACTTAATTTTTCGCCCCCCAAAAAAAAAACGTAATGGGTAACCCTGACGTTTTTTTTTTGGGTCGAAATTTTGATTTTCGATATCTCAGCTCTGGAAGGGTCTAGAGCCTCCATTGTTGCACTCAGGTCTAAGTCTCATGGCCCTCTATCAGAATCCAGAGTTTTGAGAAGATTGGGGATACTTAATTTTTCGCCCAAAAAAAAAACGTAAGGGGTAACACTGTCGTTTTTTTTTCTGGTCGAAATTTTGAATTTCGATATCTCAGCTCTGGAAGGGTCTAGAGCCTCCATTGTTGCACTCAGGTCTAAGTCTCATGGCCCTCTATCAGAATCCAGAGTTTTGAGAAGATTAGGAATACTTAATTTTTCGCCCAAAAAAAAAAGCAAGGGGTAACACTGTCGGATTTTTTACGGGTCGAAATTTTGATTTTCGATATCTCAGCTCTGGAAGGGTCTAGAGCCTACATTCTTGCACTCAGGTCTAAGTCTCATGGCCCTCTATCAGAATCCAGAGTTTTGAGAAGATTGGGGATACTTAATTTTTCGCCCCAAAAAAAAAAACGTAAGGGGTAACACTGTCGTTTTTTTTTTTCGGGTCGAAATTTTGAGTTTCGATATCTCAGCTCTGGAAGGGTCTAGAGCCTCCATTGTTGCACTCAGGTCTAAGTCTCATGGCCCTCTATCAGAATCCAGAGTTTTGAGAAGATTGGGATACTTAATTTTTCGCCCCAAAAAAAAAAACGTAAGGGGTAACACTGTCGTTTTTTTTTCGGGTCGAAATTTTGAGTTTCGATATCTCAGCTCTGGAAGGGTCTAGAGCCTCCATTGTTGCACTCAGGTCTAATGTCTCATGCCCTCTATCAGAATCCAGAGTTTTGAGAAGATTGGGGATACTTAATTTTTCGCCCAAAAAAAAAAAAAACGTAAGGGGTAACACTGTCGTTTTTTTTTTTCGGGTCGAAATTTTGAGTTTCGATATCTCAGCTCTGGAAGGGTCTAGAGCCTCCATTGTTGCACTCAGGTCTGGTCTCATGGCCCTCTATCAGAATCCAGAGTTTTGAGAAGATTGGGGATACTTAATTTTTCGCCCCAAAAAAAAACGTAAGGGGTAACACTGTCGTTTTTTTTTCTGGTCGAAATTTTGATTTTCGATATCTCAGCTCTGGAAGGGTCTAGAGCCTCCATTGTTGCACTCAGGTCTAAGTCTCATGGCCCTCTATCAGAATCCAGAGTTTTGAGAAGATTGGGGATACTTAATTTTTCGCCCAAAAAAAAAAACGTAAGGGGTAACACTGTCGTTTTTTTTTTCGGGTCGAAATTTTGAGTTTCGATATCTCAGCTCTGGAAGGGTCTAGAGCCTCCATTGTTGCACTCAGGTCTATGTCTCATGGCCCTCTATCAGAATCCAGAGTTTTGAGAAGATTGGGGATACTTAATTTTTTTACCCAAAAAAAAAACGTAAGGGGTAACACTGTCGTTTTTTTTTCGGGTCGAAATTTTGAATTTCGATATCTCAGTTATGGAAGGGTCTAGAGCCTCCATTGTTGGACTCAGGTCTATGTGTCATGGCCTTCTATCAGAATCCAGAGTTTTGAGAAGATTGGGGATACTTAATTTTTCGCCCAAAAAAAAAACGTAAGGGGTAACACTGTCGTTTTTTTTTTCGGGTCGAAATTTTGATTTTCGATATCTCAGCTCTGGAAGGGTCTAGAGCCTCCATTGTTGCACTCAGGTCTAAGTCTCATGGCCCTCTATCAGAATCCAGAGTTTTGAGAAGATTGGGGATACTTAATTTTTCGCCCAAAAAAAAAAACGTAAGGGGTAACACTGTCGTTTTTTTTTTCGGGTCGAAATTTTGAGTTTCGATATCTCAGCTCTGGAAGGGTCTAGAGCCTCCATTGTTGCACTCAGGTCTAAGTCTCATGGCCCTCTATCAGAATCCAGAGTTTTGAGAAGATTGGGGATACTTAATTTTTCGCCCCAAAAAAAAACGTAAGGGGTAACACTGTCGTTTTTTTTTTCTGGTCGAAATTTTGATTTTCGATATCTCAGCTCTGGAAGGGTCTAGAGCCTCCATTGTTGCACTCAGGTCTAAGTCTCATGGCCCTCTATCAGAATCCAGAGTTTTGAGAAGATTGGGGATACTTAATTTTTCGCCCAAAAAAAAAAACGTAAGGGGTAACACTGTCGTTTTTTTTTTTCGGGTCGAAATTTTGATTTTCGATATCTCAGCTCTGGAAGGGTCTAGAGCCTCCATTGTTGCACTCAGGTCTAAGTCTCATGGCCCTCTATCAGAATCCAGAGTTTTGAGAAGATTGGGGATACTTAATTTTTCGCCCAAAAAAAAAAACGTAAGGGGTAACACTGTCGTTTTTTTTTCTGGTCGAAATTTTGAGTTTCGATATCTCAGCTCTGGAAGGGTCTAGAGCCTCCATTGTTGCACTCAGGTCTAAGTCTCATGGCCCTCTATCAGAATCCAGAGTTTTGAGAAGATTGGGGATACTTAATTTTTCGCCCAAAAAAAAAAACGTAAGGGGTAACACTGTCGTTTTTTTTTTCTGGTCGAAATTTTGAGTTTCGATATCTCAGCTCTGGAAGGGTCTAGAGCCTCCATTGTTGCACTCAGGTCTAAGTCTCATGGCCCTCTATCAGAATCCAGAGTTTTGAGAAGATTGGGGATACTTAATTTTTCGCCCAAAAAAAAAAACGTAAGGGGTAACACTGTCGTTTTTTTTTTCTGGTCGAAATTTTGAATTTCGATATCTCAGCTCTGGAAGGGTCTAGAGCCTCCATTTTTGCACTCAGGTCTAAGTCTCATGGCCCTCTATCAGAATCCAGAGTTTTGAGAAGATTTGGGATACTTAATTTTTCGCCCAAAAAAAAAACGTAAGGGGTAACACTGTCGTTTTTTTTTTCGGGTCGAAATTTTGAGTT